GGCTTTAGCTTCTCAGTGCTGTGCTTTAACCCGCTGCGCCACCAGGGAGGGCCCCACTTTTAGTGTTTTTAAAGGAAAGAATTTAAACGGGAAGCCAGGGAGGAGAGCGGCGATGCTGTCAAACGACGCTCTGAATCTCAGAGGACGCGCGGCCCAGCGCGTGGGGGCGCCGGGGGCTGTCACCCCTCGGCTGCTGGGCCCCGCGGGGACAGGCAAGGGAGGCTCGTCGCCCACCAGCGCAAAGCCACTAGGAGGCAGGAGGCAGGCGCTGCGCCCCCGACCCCAGGGGCCCCGGCCTGGGTGTCAACTCCTCTTAGGGCTGAAGCTTTTTCCGAAGTGGGGCAGCCAGGTCCCTGGCTGCAGTGGAGGGCAGGACTGGGGAGTCAGCAGGTGCAGTGACCAGGACTCCCCAGCCCTCTGTGACCTTCAGCGGTGGTGGTCACCCTTATGGTGGGAGTGGCCGCAGACAAAGGCCAAGGAGTGGGCAGCTCATGCGGAAATGGAGGCCGGCGCCCCTTCCTGCTGGCCGGGCACTGGGACGCCCCCAAAGCCCGCAGGGAGAGGAGAGACGCTCGCTTCCCTGGCCTGCAGATGATGTCACCAACCCTCTGGGCCTGCGAGCTCCCTTAAGTAATTCAAGTCAGAGCGGGCAAATACGGAGCCGCTTCAGCGCAGGTCCGGCAGGTCCCGAGGCTCCCTGCGCCCCCAAAGGCGGAGCCGGGGTGTCTGTGTGCCTCCCCACCCGCGACAGGCCTGGCAGGCGCAGCGGGGGATGCGAGGCGACAGGGCCCCCACCCCCAGTCCGCCTGCAGGAGCGTCTCCCACAGCGAGGCGCAGGGCCGGAGCGGGGAGGGAGCGGCGGCCAGCTGCAGGCAGCTGCGGCGCAGGGGACGCTCCAGACTGCAGCAACGCGGCGGCTGCTGTCCGCCTCAGTGCGGGTGCGGCTGGCTGCCTTTGCTTTTTTTTTTTTTTTTTTTTTAGCACCGCTCAGTCTTAAATTAAAAGAAAAGCGGAGACTGCCGGCGTTAGGGCGCGTCTTCAGCAGACACAGCTACGCTCTCAGCTGCCGCCCAGAGAGGCTCGGGGTCGTGTTTGTGGCCAGCTGCGGAGAACAGCGTTTCAGCCGCTCGAAACACGCAGACTCAACCGCGGGGCCGCCAGACTTAACCCCACGGGACCCCTTCCCAGTACGTCCCCCCCCGGGCAGGGGCTTCTGAGCCCGGGCGTGACGTGCCTCCCTGTCCACGGCGCCCTGCGGCCCGGGCAGCACCGCGAGCGCGGCCCAGGCGGAACCAGGACACGCAGCCCCCGGGAGGGACGTCCAGGTGGTCCATGAACGTGCCTCCATGTTATTCTCTACTGCAAAGCACGCAGTAAGCACTCTGCTCTCCCTGCCTGCAGCCACACACGCCAGGCTTCTGCAGAGCCCGGGGCACGGCTGGCCGCAGCCGCCAGGCGATTCTGAACGTCCACCGCCCACCCCACCCAGGCCCGGACGAGGCCCAGGAAGCTTCCATGCACCGGACAGGAGCGCAGGTCACGCCCCCCACTGAGGCAGGTCGCTCTTCGCAGAGAACCCGCTGGTCAGTGGCCACCCTGCGCCAGCTCCAGGGGACCAGCAGGCGGCTGACCCGCTCCCGCCTCACCCCTCCACCCCTCTGCACCCTTTTGTCAAGGACAGGCCCCGAGGTTCCACTGGATTCCACGAGGCCCAGGGGCAAAACAGTGACAAAGAGAAAAAAGTTTCCCTTGACCTGACAGGGAAGTGAGAAAGAGAAGAGCAGGGGGAACAGAGGGCGGGACTCCCCGCACAGGGACAGGGGACAGGGGACACGGAGGGGGCGGCTGAGCGGGAGGCCTCCTGCGGCCCTCTGGTGACTCAGCACTCCCGGCACGAGGGGCAGCGGCAGCCGGAGGGGGCCAGGTGGTCCGCGGGGGCAGGTGGTCAAGGGGTCGGAGCTGGGGCGGCTGCGTTTTGCTCAGGGAGGCGCAGGGGGCGTGAGCCAGTGTGGGGCGGCCCAGACCAGAGCCGGGGCTCGGCCCGCCCGGGGCATTCTCAGGCTCTCTAGAAGCAAAG